GCTAGGATTTGAATTAGTTAAAGAGTTATACACCAATTACCCATATTTCTCAGGTATTTATGACTCTTGTGGTTCAGCAAATCAAGGTAAATTCTACATCCTTGATGGATTTCTTTTCTACCTCAATCGACTGTGTATACCTAACTGCTCTATTCGCTCTTTACTTGTTAGGGAAGCACACGGAGGTGGCTTGATGGGACACTTTGGCGTGGCTATAACCTTAGCTATCCTTCAAGAGCACTTCTATTGGCCAAAGATGAAGTGAGATGTGGAGCGAATGGTGGCTAAATGCATTACTTGCCACAAAGCTAAGTCTAAACTTCAACCCTATGGCCTTTATAGTCCTTTACCTGTACCTAAGGAACCTTGGACCAACATTTCCATGGATTTTGTTTTAGGGTTGCCTAGGTCAAAGAGGGGAAATGATAGCATCTTTGTTATTGTTGACAGATTTTAAAAAATGGCACATTTTATACCATGTCACAAAACAGATGATGCATCGCACATTACTGATTTGTTTTTCAAAGAAATCACTAGATTGCATGGCATGCCTAGGACAATTGTCTCTGATAGGGATGTCAAATTTTTGAGTTAATTTTGGAAAACTTTGTGGGGAAAATTGGGGACCAAATTGCTATTTTCTACTACTAGTCACCCACAAACTGATGGCCAAACTGAGGTTGTCAATCGTACACTATCTACACTCTTGCGTGCCATCATTAGAAAACACATTAGAACCTGGGAAGAGTGTTTACCCCATGTTAAGTTTGCATACAATCGCACGGTGCATAGTTCTACTCATTTTTCACCATTTGAAATAGTCTATGGTTTTAACCCTTTAACACCACTAGACTTATTACCTTTACCTTCTTCTGAGCACATTAACATGGATGGTGCTAAACGAGCAGATTTTGTCAAGAAATTACACGAGCAAGTACGCTTAAACATTGAGCGAAGGATGAACCAAATTGCTCAACGGGTTAACAAGGGATGCCAACGCGTCGTGTTTGAACCTGGTGACTGGATGTGGTTACATCTACGCAAGGAAAGGTTCCCAGTCCAAAGGCGCAATAAATTACTTCCCCGAGGAGATGGGCCATTTCAAGTCATCAAGTGCATCAATGACAATGCTTACAAACTGGACCTACCCGGTGAGTACAATGTGAGCGCTACATTCAATGTCTCTGATCTATCTCCTTTTCTTGCAGACAATGAAGCTGATTTGAGGACAAATCCTTTTGAAAAGGAGGGGGATGATACGAACCAAGAGACACCATTGCGAACTATTCGAGTTCCCCTAGGACCCGTAACTCGAGCATGAGCTAAGAAGATGAGGGAGGAACTCCAAGGACTTGTTCGTGAGGTACAAGGCCAAGAAATTGTCCCCAAGGTCATTGAGGGACTTGAGCATGAAGGAATGAAAGTCATCCATGTAGTGCACGTCAAAGAGAACCATGCGTGACCCTTCTCTAGTCACATTTGCTGTTTTAATTAAGTCATTGTAATAAGGGGTTAATGGTCCATAGCCTTGCTTTATTTACCTAAGGGATGACCTCATAAGGTTATTTACCTAAGCGATGACCTCATAAGGTTATTTACCTAAGAGATGATCTCATAAGGTTTGGTCAAACCCACAATTCTTAGTTTTATGGAAATAGTCAAGCCTACAATTGTTAATCTTAGTCAAGCCCACAATTCTAGACTAGTTCCACATTATTTAATTGTTCATTTCTATGTAAAAGCTATAAATAGCCCACACTTCCAATGGTTTTAGGCATTCAATCAATAAATCAAATTTTGAGAGTTTTCTTGGTTTCTCCAAGGCTTCTTGAATGCCTTAAAATTTCTCTAGGTGTTCGTGACTTATCAATCTAGAATCGCACTAGGTTGTGGCGTCTTCTACCATTATACCAAGGTTCGTTAACCACGTGATTAACGGGTTGAGGTCATCCGCTCCAAACTTGGTGTCCTCTTGTCGATCCTGAAGCTAATCTTTTACGGGTTTCGTCACAAGGTTGGCGACGTTCGTATCAATGTGGTTTCCAGATGTTTATATGCACTTAGAGGTTTCCAAATTTTTGGCCGTTGGAAGATTGCATCAGACCGTTGGCTATTCCTGTCAACTACTGAAGATGTCTTAGTGTAATAGAAGAAATAATCCTAAATTACATTTATACCCCTTCAACTTTGATAATCATGTCTACCTTTTTATTAACAAGCAATCTTGTACTAATATAGGGAGGAAGAGGGTATTCATGGAATATAAAAATGTCATCTCTATCATGACAGTAATATTTTAATCCTAATTGGACTGAATTATTATCAAAATTTGAAAAGCAAGGGAGCTAGGTGAAATTTTTAAAAGCTGGAGGGGTCTCAGTGCAAGTGTCACAAACCTCAGGGGAGGTTTGTGAAATTAAAGAGTAGAAAAAGTGGGACAGGGAAAAGATAATTACCCCATAACAAGCAATTGTCCCCAAATCATGTATTTCACATGAAATGATTGTATTTGAAATCCTTTAACATATTTCATGTCATTTTCTTGGGTGGTTGGATCCATTTTCTAGAACATTATCAGCAAAAAACAAAGAAAACGACGGGTCTATTTGGATAGAAAATTATTTGAAAAAATTATCTAAAATAATACTGTGGCTTGCAATATGTATGTGATATAAAAAGTAATTGAAATCTGTATTTATAATGTAAACCCAAAAAAATTAGAAATTCTTCTTACAAATCTTGATAACCAAATCCCTGATTTTCCATTTCTTTTTCATCTTATAACCAAGAACTGGCAAGAGCATTAGGAGAAAACAAAAAGAAACAGTACAGTCAGAAAAAGATAAACAACCATTGCAGTACTAGCACCCCTCGAATAATTTCATTCAGTGGGACAATTCGATGGTAACCCACCACCAATTCCTACAAAATCCAGCCATGTGATTATGGGTCCCCAGCACAGCCCCAACAGCTCTTTCTTAAGCGACTCCACATTCACGACCATCGCCCGTGCATTCAATGGCCCTCCCCATCTCAATTCCAACGAGTTTGGACAGCAACCTTCATGTCTATTTCTTGGCCTCACACATAGTCAGTTCCTATAGTAGGAACTGTCAAACGCTTCCCGATATATGGACGCGTTCGTACTTTAGAAGATGATTGAGAGAGCCTCTTTAAATCTTGGGATAATTTCAGAAACCTCCCCTGAGGTTTCTAATAATTTCACTGAACTCTCTTTAGGTTTAAAAAATTACACATACCTCCTTTATTATTTAAAATGATAATTTTACCCTTAAATATTTTAATGAAATTCCTTTATTTGGTATGCTTATATTTAGAATGGGTTTTAAAATTATTTTTCATTATTTTTCCTTCTTATTCCTTTTTTTTAAATTTTTTGCCAATAAAACTGTAGAATTACTACTATTGCCTCCAGTTTCTATTACAACCAAATATCGAACTAGTGATTGTTTTTTCGAGTTAATTTTATATATAATCTAATGATTTTTGTTAATATTTTTTTTATTTTTTGTTATTAAAATTAACAATAAATAAATAAAATAGCCCAAAGGCACTACTAAATTGTGATAATCCCATTACTCGAAAAATTCAAAGACTATAAATGAATTATTTCAACATTTTCTTTTCTATCTTATAAATCTAAATCCAAAATAAAATACCATCAAAAGTATCATATCATAGTGATAAAATTATTATTATAGTTGTTTATCAAATAGTAAGTATGGACATGAAAAATTTGGAATTTTTTTTTATAATTATAATAGATAATTTTATAATTGTATAGGAAAATAAATTAAAACTCATTACACAAAGGTATTTTTGGGTATTCATTTAAATATTTGACCAAACCAATATTATTTTAAGGTTTTGTTACTAAAATTATAAAATCAAGGGAAGTAAGTTTAATTTTTCAAACCTCAGAGGAGCTCAGTAAAATTATTAAAAATCTCAGGGAAGGTTTCTGAAATTATCCCTTAAATCTTTTCGGTGCATAACATCGAGAGTTTAAATCTTGATTAGTGCATCAAAAGCTGTGCTTTCTTGTTTTTAAAACATCCAAAAAATGTAGTGGGCTTTTCTGAGTTGAAAGGCATTGAAGAAGGAAGCTTTTTGGTCATTTCCATTGCTGTCAGTAGAGCGCATAGAATCTTCAGAAGATGAAAAGAGAAGGCCCTCGCTTTTACTTGGAGATGAGAAAAGAATCCAGGAAGGAAGCTTTCTAGTCATTTCCTTTAATTTTTTTTTTGGGTCAAACGTCAACTTCTAGGTTGTGTTTGGATTGCATTTTCCATGATTTTTCATGAAAAAATTACTGTAGCAATTTGATGTATGTGAGGGAAAAAGGTAATAGGGAAATGTGATCATGGAAAACAACGTAATTTTTCGACGGAAAACTACAATCCAAACAAGGCCTTTGTTTCCTTTGATGTTGGTGGAGTGCACAAGTGCGTGAGGGTGTGTGCACTAGAAAATTTCTTAGAAACTTACCTTATTTATTATTATTTTCATTTTTCTCAAAGCTAAAAATCAAAACTTAGTGCACTAAACAAAAGGAAAGAAAATAAAACTTAATTCAAAATGTATCAACTTACCTTTCCCATTTCTAAGAAAATCAAAATGACAAAAAAATCAGTGTTTTCAGTTTGCTTCTCTTTATCAGAATCGTAAAGCAGTCTCAGACAAAGATGTATACACCCCAAAAACTTAAAATCTGTTTGATAACCGAATTCAACACTTTAAATTTAATAGGTTTAGATCTTAATATATTTAAGAGAAATTTGCTAAATTGATCCCTAACATTTTCACAAAAAACTTTTTTAGTTTCTAACATTTAAATCAGTCAGAATCGTTCCTAACATATAAATTATGATCCATTTTTGTTCTAATGATCATATTTGCTCATTTTTTGACTGAAAATAGCACGCATATCTCACGTGAACATATTTTTAGGAGCAAAATCGAAAATTATACTTCCTTACTTACCTCTCCCCTTCTCCCCGACCCCAATCATCACCACCACCATTATCAACACCGCCCCCTTCCTCTTCCTTACCTCCTCCATCCCTCCTTCCCCTTCCGTCTGTGCCACCACCACCCACCCCCTGGTGCCCCCCTCCATCTATAAACTTATCATCTCCTCCTCCCCCACAAGTATCACCTTCCCCTCCCTTTGGCATAGCACCTCCATCTCTAACTCTTTCACCCTTTCCTCCTCTGCCAATTGTAGTCCCAACACCACTTACCTCAGTTTCTCCACCTCCTCCTGCTATAAAGTCATAGCTCACCAGCCCTTCCTCTCCTGCATTACCTCCTCCACCACCACCTGCTTCTTCGCAGACTCCATTCTTGTTAAATCCCCCTCCACTTTCGATGGCATCTCCTTCTCCCATCACCACATCTCTTATTCCACCTTCTCCCCTGCCTCCTGGAATAATACATCCCAAGCTAATGCTCCAATTAACTCAGTCTTACCAGCAATTTCCCCTGAGAAACCCACTGCAAGATCAACTACACCTGCTCCAAATATTAAAGCAATCACAATATCCAGAAATGGTGGGAGCATGAAGGGCGGAGTTGTCATGGCAATTGGATTCATGGGCTTTCTGGCAATTGGTCTTATGGTGCTTGGTGTCTGGTTGGCACGAAAGCAAAAGAAAAGGAGAGCCCCATTCAACATTAGATACACAATGCCTCCTCCCAAAATTCAGGGAAAAATTAGGGTTTTTTTTCCTGTAATTTTAGGGGAAAAGGTGAAAGGGGTACTTTTGCTTTCAACCTGGAATGATGTTTTTAGATTTTTCCCTTAAAAATATGTCCACGTGAGAGAGGTGTGCTATTTTCAGTCGAAGAAAAAAGCAAATATGAGCACTAGGACTAAAATGGATCATAATTTATATGTTAAGGACGATTTTAGCTGATTTTAAATGTTGAGAACTAAAAAAATTTTTTGTGAAAATGTTAGGGACCAATTTGGCAAAATTTCCTATATTTAAATACATTTGATAATCAAAATTAGAATATCTGAATTCATTAATTGATACTGAATTTTCTAAACAAAATTTACTCCAAAAAATAAGTTTTAAACTGTTCACTTATCACTTAATATAGTATACACTCAAATGTATCAAATTTAGTACGTAACTATTCACTAACTTAATGGATTCATGTTTCAGATTTTAGACTTCAAATTTCAAATTTCAAAATTCAATTTTATCAAATGTACCCTTAGAATAAGAGAAAATGATATTTTGAAAAGGGGTAAAATTAACATTTAAAAGTGATACTTTAAGCTGAAAAGTAGTTCAAAACTTAGATTAGAATCAAATTTTGCCGACTTGAATTTGTAAGAGACGAAAAACTAATATTTTAAAAATAAATAATAAAAAACTTCATTTGATGAAATATAAGTGATGTTTTGAACAATATTTCAGTTCTAAATTGTGTATTACACCTACCAGTTGTTATGCAAATTCAATTTATTCCAGTAGTAAAAGTTTGGGTCAACCCGATCTATATCCCCAATTATGGACCTTGTGGACTTTTTAAGTAGCCATGTTACTTCTAGTAACTGGGGCTAATGGGTTTCCTCTTCTTGTATTTGTTTTTTTTTTTCCTTTTAGCTACAAAAAAAACCAAAAAATGAAAATGATTTCCGCTCCTATCAATATCCAAACTTCAAACCTTTCCTTAGGAAGGCAGTTGAGGAGAGTTTTTGGGCAAATTGGATTAAACAAATCTGGTCGTTTTAAAGCCTTACTTAGATTATAGACAAGAATAAGAGGAAAAAATTGAAAGTTTTTTTTTTTTTAAAAAAAAGGATAATATGAGTACCACAGTCTATAACTTAAATCGAAGTTATGGATACATCCTAATCACAGATTTCTAGTGCACGTTTTGATGGGGAAGGACAACCGGTTTGCCTGGTTAAATGCAGAGTTGAATAAACTTATCTTCTTCTCCTCTCTATGCTCTCTCCAAACCGATTTGTCAATATCTTCTTCTCACACCTCTTTCTCACAAATAACACCCATCATTTCTAATCTTTCAATTTTTTAATCTTTCACTTGGTAATTTAACAAGTCTCCAGTCGAATGATCTAATTCTTATTCTCTGTCTTTGGGGATAACGTAAATAACAGAAGATGCCAAAGAAGAACTTCTATACAATGTTGTAAAGTTAAAAAAGATCTTATATTATTTCGCAGGAAACAGTGGGGATAATTGCAACTAAGGAAGAAAATTAAAAAAAAATAGCTTAGAAAAAGTAAATCTGCAATAGAGAGGTAGTAGATGGGGCCGAGTAAGGGATGAGAGGGATCGGGGGATTGGTAGGATGGGTTTTGTCTGATTATCTCTAAGGAATGAGATGGGGCGGATTTTAAGATAGTGGGCTGGGGATGGAGGATGGAGTTAGTGGTGGGGTTATTGGGCAAGAAGGTTTTGTGGGAGAAAGGTTGTGAAGCAGCAAATGTGATGATGGAGTTTGACAGGGGTTCTTTTGATAAATTTGGATTAATTGAAAGATTCTTCAAAAGTTAACACCTACGTCTGTGAACCATGGCTAGTTAACTTTTTTTTTTTTTGCTTCTACTTTTGTCGATGGAAAATTCTAAGACACTATACTAGGGGAAAGGGTTAGAGGGGGTAAATCGTCACCAAATCAACGAATGCATGTGCATCTGATGATAAAATCTTCAAAAAATTTTAGAGAAGAACGTAAGTTAGAAAATTTGATCCCCTAACCAAGGAAAGAAGTGAATCTAAGAGGGTCAAAGATATATTCTAAGACTCTATATTAGGGGGTTGGGTTGGTGGGGTAGAATCGCCATCAAATCAAACGGATGCATATGTATCTGATGATAAAATTTCAAAAAAATTTTAGAAAAGAATATAAGTGAAGGGATTTGATCTCTTAGCCCACGAAAGAAGTGAACTTAAAAGGGTCAACAAGAAATTCTAAGACTATATTAAGGGGAAAGGTTGGGGGACAGAATCACCACCAAATCAAATGGATGTATGTGCATCTGATGGTAAAATTTCCAAAAGAAAATCTACAGAAAAATGTAAATTAAAAGATTTGATCCTTAGCCGATATCGAAGAAGAGTTTTAAATTTTTCTGTAGTGGTCAATTACTCTAATAACAGTAGGTTAATCCATGATTAGTTAACTAACATGTGAAAGCATGTATGCCTATTTAAACAACCAAAAGGGTGACGTCCCTTTTTCAAGGACCACACCGTCTGGGTTCATTAAAGAATTTGTCTATTCTAGTGGGTAGGTGCAGTATTTCGGACCCAGCTGGTACAGATATGCTGCAACCCAAAAATTGACTTGCCGACATATATAGTTGACAATGGGCAGGAAGATCGCCAAAGAAAATAGATACCAAGTGTTAAAACATGGCAAATTTGCATATCCAACTTCACTTAGTAGCATTATTCTTCCTTTCTAGTCTTAACACTTCACTTAGTTTTTGTGACAAAACTAATTACTATAATTTAAAAAAACCATTATGATTTTTTGGCAGAATTTACCATTTTTTTTCTTTAATATTGACTCACTAGATTAATCTTTTATACACCTTCAACGTAAGTGTTTTTTTTTTTACATGATTATATCTTCACATTTCATCACAAAAATTAGGATGATGAGTAATAATTTTTTCCCTAAACCTGGTATTTGCTAACAAATCATCAACTTGATAAATACCAATTTTTGGAACAAATTTTCCCACTATTGCTATCATTGGCTTCTTCCATGTGGAATGACTCTTCATTATTGGTCTTCCCCTTGTAGTATCTATGTCTGTCGAGTTAAACTTATAATTAAAGTAGGTGACAGCTAACAAACTAACAAAAATATTAATCACACAAAGTAAAAGGTTAATCACTAAAACAAGGGTTAATTCCAATAAAGCCCTAAAAAAAAACTCTTTTCAGAACTTGCCTCGAAGGTTTAATTGTACCAATCCATCCTTTATAATTCCAATATTCCCAAAGGCGTAATAACATATTAGTTTGGTAATGATATGGGCTGACAAAAATGAACGTGTACTAAATGTTTTAATAATGCCAAGATTTGTTGGATAATAGATGATTTAACGCGTAGAAAGCACTAAGATATCTTTTTCTTTACAAATGTCAAGATGGACTACCTAGAATAAATGTGAAATGAAGTATTGGGAAAAGTTTGGTCGCTTCACATAATCACATGAGCTGCACATGACCAAATCAACTATAAATTGGACTGTCCAACCTGATTGCACTTAATTGGGAATATTATTAATAGTATAAGAGGTGCATGGGTACAATTAAATCTTTAGGGGCAAAGTGAGAAAATACTATTATTTGAGGAGGTTCATTGAAATTAACCCTTAAAACAAAAACAACGACATATAAATTCGATGATTAATTGGAAAATACCACATAAAGAAACTAACAAAATTATCAGTTACTTAAGTTAGAGTAAATTAGTTATTTATTATAAATGACAAATTCAAAATCACAATAGAAAGGAGTTAATAAAGTTTTTTACGACTTGGAACTAATACTTAGTTAGTTTATAATTAAATGATGTTGATTCTATAGAGCGGAAATATGACTTCTAAAATATTTTGGTTGGAAGATGGACAGCAAATTGGTAAAATAGTAGGTTATAGAATATAGTACTGAATTAGCTATATATAGCATGCGCAGTAGGTGGACTTATTTACAAACCATGGACAGATATAATTCGCAATTTTGTCTAATTATTCGATTGTTGTACTTTTTTTATATAATATAATGTATGTTTATATAACTTTGATGTATTTTTAAATTTTATTTGTGTACACCAACTTAATTTGTAAAGACAACTGCATCAGTAAGTACACACCATATATTGTGGATAAAACACAACAATTGCATTAAATCGTACCTAATCTAATCATCCTACATAGATCCCACTATTTACAAAAGGGCAAAAATTAATGCAAAACTATAGTTGTCAGATTTTGTTAGTACATACAAGAGTTTCTCGTGGGCAATAGGCCCTACTACGCTCAGACTACATCAGCCCTTGCTTATCATCTGCTTAGTTTTGGAAGTATTGTGTTTATGTTTCCTGGACAAGATTACCTGATTTTCTATGGAGAAAATTGCACTTTAGACCTCAAAGTATTGTGTTTATGTTTCAACCAAAATAAAAGCAACCCCTTGAGTGTCCAATTTCGATCAATTAATCCCTCATTTTTTGACCTAAAAAAATATAGTTTCTAAAGTATATTAATTAACCAAATTGGTTCATAATGGTTTATAAAACATAACCAAATTTAATACTATAAAACAAATGTTTGAAAAGGTTCATCAAAGTTATAGAAAATTCTAGAAAGACCACAAAGATTTTAAAAACATTAATAAAGTATAAAGTAAAGGTAAGATATTCACTTTTGACAAAATAAAGACAATTTGTAGATATTCCATTTTTGTAATTTGTACATAAAAGTATACAAAAGTGCATATATAATTACAATACTTAATTTACTCATTAAAAAAAGTACACAAAACATATAGAAAAGAACACATGCACTACACATGCTTTGTTCCAGTGTTAAAATTAGATTTTTTTAGATTACCTTAAACTTATTTTCTAGGGTATTAAAAATTTTATGATTCAACTATAAATTTTTATGACTTGTATAGAAATTTCACGTATTTTGATGGATTTTTATATTATATAAATAAATTTTCTTAGATTTTATAAAACATTAGGGGCTAATTCAGTCAACTAATATACTTTAGGAATTACATTTTTTTAGATTGAAACATTAGGGATTAATTAGATTGAAATTGAATACTCTAGAGACTACATTTGTTTTGAGTAAAACATTGAGGACTAGTTTGCTCCAACACCCATATATAAAGGACTGAAAGTGCAATTTTCCCATTTTCCATATGTGATGTGTCCAACCTTGCTAAAAATAATGTGAATGGTTTCCAAACTAGTATTCAAATTAAGAGAATTTTTTTTTTGGCATCTAGGTAAATGTTTGTTAAGTCCATAATCTAATCGTACAGCCGCAAAAAGTGAGATTTGAAAAGGAAATACAACTAAAAAAAACTTCTTGGAGCATTATATTTTAGTTAGTAGTTATATTTTTACAAAAATGGAGTTAAATATAATTGCAATTTCAATGACCTCTTAATTATGGCTTTAAACTATTGATTTGCGATTGGATTAAACTACACATAAGGAAAGTCTTATATTTTGTTGAAGTGGTTGTTGATTGGAGTTCTCCTCTTCTCTTTTGTGTCTATGTATACTACCCCTAAACATTATCGTGCTTTATTTTAATCTGCAGTAGGCAGAAATAATTGATGCATACTTAAAGTGATGGTGACCCTGGAGGAACTATCTTTGGACAGAAGTGGAAATAAAGAAATAATCACATTTTTCATCTCCATGAACTGAATTTTTGATTAACATCATCCATTCAGTTATTCTAAAACAAGATTAAACCTCACTTTTGAGGCATGAATGATGATTGGGTAATTATTATTGGGTGGAAATCACAAGCATTTAATGTTGGCTAATATATGATCCAGTCGAATTGCCTTTTTTTTTTCCTTCTTTCTATGTATTAGGAATTGATTTTCCTTCACTTCGCGATCTTTCACAATTTAATACTTCAATTACTTTATATGTTCTTTTTTTGACAAATATGATACTCCACATGGAACATGCAAATGCAGTTAGCCCCTAGACTTTAGGCCCACGAGTTTCATTTACAGGACGAAGCAATTCCAAATAATCAAATGTTACGCTTTAAAAGATTTTGGATTATTTCTTTACAAATCCCATTGCAAAGATAATTTTAGGTACTCTTCTAGCATTTGGAATGGACTAATTCCACTCGCACCTACAAACTTGTATCTCGTTCTCACTTTATATTCTAAGTTTCAATTTGAGCTATTTTACACTTTGATATCTCAAATGTGTCCTACTCAAATCCGATGGATAACAGTATGTAACGAAATGGAGAACCGTGCACCTAATGTGTTTTTTTTTTTCACTTGAAAAACACAGATTGTGAAATGATCAAGGACGGAACTTGGGGGCCGCTATCCACCCCCAAGTTCTAGGAATTGATGTTTTCTACTGTTAAAATTTTTAAAATTTCTTATTATATGTGAGTGTATGTATATATGTATATATATAGCTGTTTACTCCCCAAAAGTTTTCAAAAGTTTTTAAGTTTATATATGTATGCATTTCGACCCTTAAAATTAAATTTTTTGGTTCCGTCAACGGTGATGATGGTAATACGCTGCCACATAGTGGAGTGTGGCTGAGATATATGTGTGCACAGTTGTCTATTCTATCAATTTTATAAACACTATTATAGGTTATATTTAAGTAGGAGAAATTTGAGACGATAAGGTACAAAATGTCCAAAATTGATGTTAGAAAGTAAAACAAAAGACATATAAGTTTGAGGGTGCAAAATAGAATTAGTGCTTTGTAATTTTTTGATTTAAACCAAATTAAATGGATAGAAGAGGAAACACAATCATATCGATTGATTTTTGATGATCAAGCTTCAACGTCATTGCATATGTCATCTTAATTTTTTTGGGGGCTACATGATGACTTAAGAAAGGTTTATAGTCTAGTAATATATTCTCCTCTATTGCTTTTCCTCATAAATTTATGTATATGCCTTTGTTAGTGATTTATTACCATAATTAATTCTATACAATCTTAATTCAATTTTTTGAGCGCATTATTTCCAACATTACTTGCTCTAATAAGCTGTAATGTAGGAGGTTAGTGTCCCTTGGAATTTCCATTTCTTTATGGGTTAATTACATTAATTTTTCAACCTTGAGATTTAGCCAAGTTACTAAACAAACCTTGAAGTTTTGTTAAATAACAGTCTCACCTCTTGACTATACAAACGTTTGTCCAAAAACCACCTAACATCTAAAGCCGTTAGAGATGCATCTGACGTCAAGAAAAAAAATATTGTGCAAGCCCAAAGATGCCATTACATAGGTCTGCTCATTTTTTGTTCTGCAAATACCCCTTTGGCGTTTATACATTGGTTACACACAAAAGTTTATCAACATGCCTCAGGGTTCAAGAATATCGTTCATCTCCCCCAAAGTCCCAAGAATGTCGTTCATTTCTCCCAAAGTCCCAATCCTGATGCTCAATACAGGCAATAATAATAATAATAAAAAAATTGAAGGTTATTAAATCCGAGGAGGAAGAAGTAAGAAAGCAAGCACTTGTGGATTAAGTTTTGGACAATCAAAATCAAGATTCTGACATGCATGTGAACGTCCATAATTCAAGGATCAAGACAAATTTTTTTTAATTATTTTGAAGATTTGAGAGTTTTAGAAATTGGGTTTGAAAATCCATGGAAAACTGGATTTTTTTTTTAATCATTATATGGTTATCATGATTAGTGGGCGTTGATCAAGTAAGAGCTTTTTGTTTAATTTCGAAATTTTTAGTAAGTGTGTTTTCTTTTAGTTGTTCGAGTAGATTTCTTTTTTCCTTTTTCACATTTGATTTACATTTCTTTAATGAAAACTCTGTGATTTCTTCTTTTCTAGTAAGCAGGTATTAATTAAAATTTTAATTTTGTGAACTGTTTTTTCTTTTGTGAAATTAGGCACGGATTCATCATGAATAGTACCCCAATTGATAATCTAAGGTTGAAAAACGGACGGTGTACCAAATGTGGAAGCTGGACTGTGGGTATTGGTGAAGGTTTCAAGAACCCAGGTTTACTATCAAGGTCATGCACCTATAGGTGAGCAACCGGTTTGGGTTATCTATAAATAATGAAAAAGAGTTAAAATTATGTCAAGCTATAAATGATGATTATGCATTTTTAAAGGAGTATAAAAAAGAGTGGAGAAGGTTTTAAAAAATGGTGAAATTGATGGAACCTTTTCAAATAGGAGGACTGGGAATGTGAAACTAATGAATTTGTTGATTAGGAGAACTTTGTGAATCTAATTAATGAAGCTGCTTTGTCAGTGATTTCTTTAGTTTATAAAACAGAAGTGCAAACTTTTCTTTACCTCTTCGTTCCTCCAACAGCTCTCTACTTCTTCTCATCTTCTCAGAAGTCCTTCTTCAGGAGGGAGACCATTCCATGGATTCCATTTTATGATGTTTTTCAATAATGTCTTTGCTAAGCTTTTTTAGTGAGACTCGTTTATTTCTCCTAGGAGTTTATAGTGAGAATTTTATATTGCTCCTCTGTTTGGATTCATCAGTTTTTCAAATACTATAAAAATTTTTAAAAAGTACTCTATAAAGTATTCTAAAAAGTAGTCTAAATTTTTTTTAATATTTAAAAAATATCCTAAAATATATTCCAAAAATTCTTCTACTCTTAAATATCCCAAAATATTTCCTAAAAATATCCTAAAATATACTCTAAAAACTTTGCTATAGTAAAATTTTTCAAAAACACCCCCCAAAAATAGTTAATCCAAATGGAATTTATCTTCATTTTGTTGTTTGATTCGAATTTACTTCAAATCTGGTTGTCAAATCTAGAATGTCTTTGGATCTTGCGTCTATCTCAACAGATGTCATTATTGTTATTGAAGTTTAAAGCCATTTGATTAGTAGATGTGTTGATTGAAATATGTACAAAAGGGAATTGCAGCGATTTATCTGTATTTTTCAAATTTGTTCAAAATCATTCATATCTACTGGACCAGTAATTAAATTGCAGATTTATTATTTTAAATGCATGTTTAACATCGCAGAGATGTAATGATAGCGAAAAACACCTTGAGATAGTCCACCAAAGAGTCTAATATGTAAGTCAGGAACCCAACTCTAATTCAAAAGTTTAAACCATTAGATTTCGGATCCTTACTTACATATTAACCGTCCTTTCTCTATCTCTCGGACTAATGTGAGACATAATCCTTTACTCATAAACCTAACAAATCTTCTCCTTCATGAGTATCCCTCACATTAAACCTAAATTTACGAACCCTTTTTCGAACCCACTTTAATACTCAATGCAAACCCACCTTATCATCTAAGATCACCTATTTTCCCAAACATAGACCCATTGTTCTTCAAGATCCAAACTGCATTTTTGGAATCCTGCAAATCTTTGACTCTTTGGTCTAACACCAACCAAACCCCCCTACTAAACCCATGGCGCACCTGGTCCAACACTAGCCAAACTTTTTAGCACTTGGGCACTTCGGTCCACCATCAAGAAGAGAATTTTTACCGGCCCAACTCTTAGAAGAATCCACTTACCCATGAGTAGTCCAGTCTCGCAACTTAAAACTCTGATATCAATTTAATAGGGAGAAACACCTCGAGAGAGCCTATCAAAGAGCTCAATATGTAAGTCAAGAACCCAATTTTGACCCAAAAACTTAAGCCATTAGATCTCGGACCCTTACTCACATATTAACCACTCTTTCTCTATCTCTCAGACAAATGTGCGACATAATCTTTTACTCATGAACCTAACATGTAAATCAAATTGTATTAGACAATTTTCAATAATCCGTTAATGAAATTTGCTTTTTGTCAAAAAAGAAAAAGGAATAGAATTGCAAATGAGCCTTGCTCGTTGCACCTATTGTAGCGGACTCTGGATATGCTTTAGAGAAGATTTTTCAGTTATTTTGGAGTGGAATGATCAGAATCAAAGGGTAAGTTTCTAAACCATGGAGAGAATAGTTTATCAGAAAGTGTGTGTGAACATGGATCTGATGAAATATATAGTGACAAAGGTGCGCAGGAATGCCTTTGTTGCCTTTTATCTCCAAAACAGATAGCTGCGTAATTTGAAAATTTACTTTTTCCAGTTTTTAAAATGCACTGATGCAGCTCATAAGTGTTCTGGGCATCCAATCATTTCACTAATTCTGTCCAAGATATGTAACAGAAGTTTCTTAAACGGGGTATCTGTTATTTGACTAAACCTCGGGTTTGGGCAGATAGTTTGGCCAAACCTCAAGAGAGGTAGATGTAATTAATCCTTCTTTATTTACAAAAGGTAGAAAAAAAACAAGGGAGTACCAAATGTATTGACTTCTGCATTAATTTTTTCCAATACCCCGGTTAGATCAATCATCAATGAAGGTCTTAACTTGTGGTGCTTAACTTGAACATTTCTTTATTTCTTCTGGCGGCTTAATAAGAGGCTGACTTTTTCAATTAAATGCTTAACGTTGATTATTCACCTAGTTAATTACTAATATAATCTCAGCAATCTATAACATTTCTAAATTTCTATTGTACTTGCCAGCAATTATGCAGATGGTTGTTCAGTTTCTCCTAGTAGCCAGGTCCAGTAGAAGATTTCAATCCAACCGGCACTTCAAAAACTATTGAGCAATTTGCCTAATCTATGAATTGACTTGCCCATGAAGAAATATATAATTGACACTGGGCATCAAGATCGCCAAAGAAACTAGATACAAGTGTTATAAAACATGGCAAATTCGTGACAAATGCTGTGTACTTGTTTAGCATTGGTAGTAATGATTACTTGAGCCCGTTGACTAATAATTCCAGTATATTTAAGTTGTATGCACCACAAGATTATGTAGCAATTGTGGTTGGCAACATTACATCGGTGGTTCAGGTAATATTCCGATTTTCTTTCTTTTTCAACCTTTTTTTAAAAAAATTTTAGTAGGGAAAATGTGGGGTTTAAGAATTCAGAATCTCCAAATTACAAAATTTCAACCTTAATCACGAGATCAAAACCTGCTCGACTATTTTCTCTTTCAACTTTGTTAACTCTTTATTGCTAATATTGGAATTTCCTTAGCCAACACATATTGGCTTAGTTGATAGTACCATTTCCTCTAAAAACGGATCGCAAGTGGTCGAGGACCTATTCCAACCTATGGTAACGATTGAAACTGAAACTACCTAAACTTTTTTAGTGCCATAATTGAAACTTCCTTGTACCAATGGTTAAGTGTTTATGTTTCTCGCATTGATTATCACAAACCATCTCAAATATGTGGATGGGGTTTCACAAGTTTCATTTTCGACAAATTTACCCTTTGATGTAATTGGGTCGAAAATGGAATAATAAAAGTTCGAATCTGGTGTAACTAATTTAAGAAATAGTGTAACAAAATATAAAATTACTAATCTACCCGAAATGAAGTAAATACAATTTGTGATCCCCCTTTCTACATTTTTTTTCCCTTCTCGCCCCTTCCCTATATGTTGCCTTTTGGCATAGTGTGTTTAATATCCATGTATCTAATCCCATTGTTAATTGACTCACAGAAAATTCACAGGGAAGGTGGAAGAAAATTCGGGATTTTAAATTTGGGTCCCTTAGGTTGTTTGCCAAGGCTTAGAGCAGCCAATGTGGCCGCTGGAGGAAATGGAGAGTGCGTGGAACAGGTCACAGCTTTGGCTAAATTACACAACGTATTGCTTTCCCAAAAACTCCAGTTGCTACAAAAAGGGCTCAAAGATTTTAAGTACTCGTATTTTGACGTCTTCACAGCTTCCATCGCGACAATTCAAAATCCTTCCAAATTCGGTATGTTCTTGAACACTTTCACGAATGATGGGGAAAATTCTTAAGTACTACAATCTTTCATATTAGAAGCAGAGAAATGTCTGCAGAATTAGTGGCATCTCTATTTCTAATTAAAAAATGATAATAAATAAATGTCTTTAGAATCATGGAAAGTGGTTAAAATATAAAGATTATGTATTAAAGTATAATTTATCTTCATGTTTGTACTCTTAAAAAATATTGTATGTTTTGGAGATAATTATTTATTTAACCATTGTGAGTTTAACTAATCATTTTTGCAATCCCAAAAATGAATCCATGCTCCTTGATCGAGAATCAAGATTCGACTCCTCTTTCAATTACTCTCTTCTTCATTTACTACAGTAGACAATTAGATGCACGACACATATTTCATTAATCAGTGAAATCTAAATGTGTAATGTGAAAAGTGGAGAACAGTAGACAATTAGATGCACGACACATATTTCATTAGTCAATGAAATCTAAATGTGTGATGTGAAAAGTGGAGAAGAGAGTAACTAGAAGAGAAGTCGAAGAAACATAGATGTCTCACATCCAAATCTGTATTGTGAGAAATGAAGATGGGGAGTAACGGAAGAGGAACTAGGTCCTCAAATCTCCAATTCCTAAATTGCTACTCCTAATATCGTTATTTTCTCTGATTATGGGACTAGATCTTTTTTAAAATAGTAGCATAATACTGCTAACAATTAGCAAAGGCGGTAGAGTAACATTTTATTCGTTGATTACTTAAAAAAGGTTTTAAGGAAGTGAAGAGTGCTTGCTGTGGTAGCGGCCCATTCCGAGGATATTTTAGCTGCGGAGGAAAGAGAGGAATGAAAAAATACGAGCTATGTGATAATCCCAAAGATTATTTATTTTTCGACGCTATTCATCGAACTGAAGCGGCGAACTTGCAGTCTGCGGAGGCGATGTGGGGAGGGCCTCCCAACATTACGGGGCCTTACAATCTCCAGTCGCTGTTTCTGCTTTAATTTCTGGTGAGGACTTTGTAAGTTGTGTAAATTTGATGTTCATTACTCCAGATTTTCTTCTTATATATATATATATTTGGTCATGTATTAGAATAATAATTTTAATAATAAAAAGTTACAATTTCAACAATGGAGCAGTATACTATTACGGTGTTTGTTCTACAGTCAACCAGGGTAGTTTTTATACTAAATATTCAAATTAACCGGTTGACGAAAGAAAGGGAATCCAGTTACTCGAATGAATGCACCAAAGCAAATCATAGACCCTCTTGTTTCACCACTAATTCTTGGGCAATAGTGTTAATGGTTGATTAAAATTAACCTTTGGTGGAAACCAAGTCCTATTAAGTCCAGAATACTTAATGGTGATTACTAAAAAATAAATTAACAGCAAAATCTTGAGGGCGTATTTGGATTTATAGTGACTGATTGTTACTTGAATCCTTGGAGTTTGGAGTGACCTCCCAGTTCAACATATAATCCTTTGAGAAAGTGTTTTAGTTTCTCTTTGGTATTTTTTTTGACGATAGAATACCGAGGAAGAACTATTATGTGATATTACAAAAGAATACATGTGATATGGAGACCATAATTCTACTTATAGATAATTTCCCTATTATCTTTTGATATCTCTATTTCAACCCATCATAAAAATACAAATTACCCTTAAATCTTTGCACATTAAAAACTCACATCCTATTAGATACGTTAAAATCCAAATTACAATTGACCACTTTTAATTGAATTTAATCTTATTGATAGTTTATAACGCATAATTATTCACATATAAATTCAATGTTGGATTAAAGATCCAACAATCTCTCATTTGGACTATATGTGTAATTTTATAATTATGTTTTACAAAATAACCGTATGAATTCAATTTTGCTGTCATTATCAAAATGTATCTACAACGAATTCAATAACATAGGATCAATGCATTGCAAAGCAGCCTTTGTTATACCAATATAGGATCAAAGCGGCATTTGTTACAATTTCTTAACTCGACCTATGCTGATACAATTGAATGATATGAATCATAATGTGAATGTATTGTATGAAAATTTCATACAATGTGATTTTAACATGCCTATTTCTAACTAATCCATCCATCTTAAACTCTTGTAAGATCAAACCATACAAAAAAAAAAAAAATTCACAGTGTGAATAAGCCAAAACTTTAATTATGCAAAAAATATCTTTAAAACATTAATAACTAAAAAATCAATGCCGTAAAGGCATTTAGAATAACAAATTCCCATTAGAACTAAATATCATTTAATGACATGACACCTATATGAGCAGTGTACTCATAAAATATTTTGGATTTCAATCTTTTAGTAAACGGATTCGCAATTACAGAGTTTGTTCCGATATGTTCTATAGACAATTATCCATTCTGAATTTTTTTTTAAGAGTTAGGAACTTGATGTCTATGTAGATTCTGTTGATCTCCTGTTATTATTAGAATTTTGAGCTGCTGACTTATTGTCACAAAATAATTTGAGTGATTTTTCAATACCATCTATTATATGTAATCTTGTGACAAAATTTTGCATCCAAATTCATGATTGGACACTGCATAATAAGTTATGAACTCTACTACCATAATAGAAGAGACTATAGAGACTGGTTAACACTCTTCCAAGGTATGACATCCCTAGCCAATAAGTAGATATAGTTTGATGTTGATTTCATACTATCTTGACATCCAATATAATTGGAATTAGTATACCTAATGATTTCGAGTTCATCTGACATCCGATATGTGAACATGTAGTCTTTTGTTTTTTGTAAATACCGCAATATCCATTTGGTTGCTTTCCAATGGTCTAATCTTGAATTGTTTAAATATCTACCCAACATCCAATAATGTATACAATATTTAGATGCGTATAGATATGAACATACATTAGACTCTCTAGTGTTGGCGCATAAGAAATCTTTTGCATTTCTTTTTCCTCAAAAAAATATTCTTATGACACTGATTCAAACTAAACTTGTGTCTCTTAACCACAAAGGTGTCACCTGATTTGCAATTTTGCATGCCATATTTTTTGAGGATCTTTTCAGTATGGCTCTTTTATGATATTCCAAAAATACCTTGAGAGCAATCCTTGTGTATCTGTATGCTTAGCACAAAAGACGAGTCACCAAAATCTTTCATCTTAAAATTCTTAAGTTAAATCTTTTGGTTTCATACAATAAGTCTATATTATTGCTCACACGCAAAATATTATCAACATACAATATTAGAAAAATATATTTGCTCCCACTGAATTTATAGAATATACACTCATCGACCAAATTCATCTCAAAATCGAATAAGATGATTACTTGATGAAACTTACCATTATCGAAATGTTTGTTTGAAGTCATAAATAGATTTTTAAGTTTGCACTCATATTTTTTAAATCTCTTGGTACAAAGTTTTTTGGCTGCATTGTATAGATTGTCTTATCAATGTTACCATTAAGAAACATTGTTTTTATATCCATCTGATGTAACTTAAGATTGAAAAACATCACTAATATCATTATAGTCCTAAAAGAGTCCTTTGAAGAAATTGAAAGAGAGTCTTTTTATAGTCGATGCCTTCTACCTTTTGCGACAAGATGAGCTTTGTACCTTTTCACATTGTCATTCAAATTCTTCTTGACCTTAAATATCCATTTACAACCAATAAATTTTGCTCCTTCTGACAATGGAACAAGATCCCAAACATCATTGTCTTTTATAAACTTGATCTTTTTATTCATGGTATCGATCCACTTTTAAGAGTTTGAACTTTTCATAACTTGAGGGAAGTTGATTGGATCATCTTTCATCATTTCAATGTCATCCTCATGTTCTTCGAGAAATGTAATTATCTGGCATTGTACTTCTCATTTTCTCTAATGGATTTTTTTAATGGCATTAGTTCTTAAGGTGGTAAAATTTGTTCTTTTGGAACAATTCATTGAATGGAAGGTTCCCCGACATTATCTTGATCTATTGCATCATGAACAAGATCAGAAATAGAGTTCCAAACAAAATCAATGGCACCTATAGGAATATTAATATATTACTCTTCAAAGACAAGGTGTCTAATTATATCTTTTTCGCCAAACTCAACATGCTTAAAGAATCAAGCATTTTCTGTTTTGAAAATTAATTTAGATATGGGATCATAAGATTTAGGGCAAAAAACCTCAGCGGCCATTAAACTATTGACGGGATCATGTTTTGGCCATCGAATTATTTTTTGTCAATAATTGGCCACTAAACAACTTAATCAATAAATTCATCACCATTTGATCAATAATTGCTTTTAATCTATGAAATTAGCTATACACGTGGCAAAATGGGACGACAATTTTGTCCAACAACTATGCGACCTTCTTCTCCCCTGAATTTCTTTCCTCAAACAAGCTGTGGACTTCATACATGAAATTGGTTGGCTCCTCCGTAGAAGTAAGTTGAAGTTTAGATTGGGTCTTCCAGATCCCAACTTGGATACATTTCCCTTCCAGCGTTTCAGATGGCTTATAGAGTTCTCAGTCGAACATGACTGGTGTGCAGTGGTCAAGATGCTTTTGAATGTTCTAGTCAACAAACTCATGGGTGGAGAAAAGCGTTTTTCAATTGAAGATGCACTGTTGGAAAATGGGTTGCTCTATAGAGCTGTTCGACAAAATTGTAGGTCCATGGTTGAAGTCCTCCTAAGATACCATCCAGATGCAGATCTGAAAAAATTAAGTCCAATCTGCTATGTATTTAGACCGATGTCAAAGGCCCTGGGGGCTTGACTCCTCTGCACATAGCAGCCGGACGCGACGGAGCTGAGCAAGTGCTGGATGCATTAACTGATAATCTTGAACTGGTACGGCTCTTCTTAATATGCATACTGTTATTAGCGGAACATTACTTTTGGAAATGGAAAAATACGGCCTTCCTAATATCTTTGATTTGTGGTTGAAGATTTGGGGCTCCCAATTGAGTGCATATTTTTTCCTCCACATAATGTTCCATTCGTTGATTGTTTGAGGAAAGAAATTCAGGGGAGAAGAAGGTCGCATAGTTGCTGGACAAAATTGCCCTCGGGCATTGCCACATGTAATGCTAATTTTAGAATTTAAGAGCAATTAACGACGAAATGGTCATGGGTTTACGGATTAAATTGTTTAGTGGCCAATTATTGACAAAAAATAGTTTAATGGCCAAAACATGATCCCTCCAATAGTTTAATGGCCGCTGAGGTTTTTTGCCCTAAGATTTATAACCCCTGGATCTTTCAGAATATCCAATAAAATAACAACTTATTGTCCTTGAATCTAGTTGCTTTTGATTTAGCCTATAAAGTCTTGTCTCATTTGGACATTCCCAGATATGTAAATATTTCAAATTAAAATTTATTTTTATCCAAAATTCATAAGGGGTTTTGGTAGTTACCTTAGTTGGAAGTCTGTTAAGAATATACGTTGCAGTTTTAAGTAGTTCTCACTCGAGTGACTGTGGCAAAGTAGAATGATAAATCGTACTCCTTACAATATCCTTAAGTAACCTATTTCATTTTTCAGTAATACCATTCACAGTGGGTGAACCCCACATAATATAATGTGGGATGATACCGCATTCCTCTAAATATTCAGCAAATAGTCTTGGACATTGTTTATATCTACCATAATACTCACCATTATGATCATATCTGACACTTCTGATTTTTTTTTTTTGTTGAGTTGGTTCTCAATTTTAGGTTTAAAATTTTTTAACACGTCTAGTAACTATGACATTTCATAATTGAGATACATGTAGCATATCTTGAAAATTATTTATGAATGTTATAAAATATTATTGACGATTCCAAACAGATGTAGGGAATGGCCAACAAAAGTCCATATGTATAAGTTCTAAGACTTCTAAAGTCCTGTTGGCTTCAAATTTTCTTTAATTGGTTTATTTCCCCTTTATATAATTAATACAATCATCAAAATTTGCAAAATTTAAGGGGTCAAGATTTT